GATATTATTCTTTTTAATTCATTTTAGAAAATTCAAATTTTTACTTTAAAAATAAAAGAAAAAGACATAGCTTTTATTATCGCCACTAAAAAGGAGATCCAGGGAAAGGAAAGCTTGCTGCTTTTTTCCCCGTCCAATATTAAACAACCTAACAAAAGACACTACTTTTCCCTGTCTTACATACTTAAGCCATCATAGCTACTACTCTCCCAGCAGCAGCAGAGATGTTGCATATAGTTAAGGAAGTATTGTTGGTATGAAACTGCCTCTGCCATCAAGCACAAATCAAGTTTAACAAGAAAGCAATGCAGAAATGCATGCCTGCCTTAACTTGAAATCATCTAATATAATGTGCATTTTTCTAACTATGCTACCATTTGAAAAGTTATTATACTCCACAGCCAAAGAGATCTCTGCATTCTACACTTTCCAACATGATGTACTCTGACTATGTACTGTTTATTTTGCTTTAAGATAATGTATACATTCTCTTTGCAACAGGAATAACATTTAAAATAAAATTCAGACTTGTTAACATCACTGAAAATGTTACTTACACATTTGCCATACCAATAAAATCTCACTAGAAAAGTAAATTAGTGACAAGAAAACACTTTCACAATTACTAAATGGAAAAAGAACTGAACTGCCTATAAAGACAGATTCTATTTCCTTCCAAATTCTGACGGATTAACAGAGAAGACATATAAAGAATAGAATACACAGATCAAGGACTACACTGAAAATTTTCAATAACTTATGTGTTGTGTACCTGGCAGCCATAATCCAAAAGAAGCTGTAGTATGTCCAAGTTTTCATTTTCAATGGTTATGGTAACAGCATTTCGTCCAAGCACATCCACACAATTTATGTTCATTTCGCCCGAGCTATTTTCCTCTAAGAGTTTCTTAACCATGTAATAGTCACCTGCACAAGTAACGCATGAATGTCATTTAGTATTATTATAAAGCAATAAAAGCACGTGAGCATTGTAAGTACCAGTTACCATCAAACAAGACAACATTCCATAGCTGACAACAGATGCTGAATGTGTCAGACAATTAAGAAGTCAAGGTAGATAAGCATTCTCTCATCAGGGAGGAAACTAAAGCTATTTCAGGAGGTCTCTTTCAGGAAAGCACTAATGCATTTATTTTAATCCACCTTTTTAGTTCCAGTCCTAAAAACAAACACACACAAAAGCATGGGTACTTTTCAAAACTGGGGCAATAGCTCATCCATACCCTGTGAGACACAGGAAACATCAAGTTCAACTACATCAGAGAAGGCTTCTCCATTCAAAAGAGCCAGAGGCTCAGAGAAGCCCTGTCTACAATGCTACACACAGGTTTGCGCCTCCCTTGAGCAGAAGCCACATTAGTCTTCCCTGTATCACTCCAGTTCTAGCGTATATATCATGAAAGCAGGTATGCTACGACGCTGCAATGTTATAAAATTCAAGCTAGCAAGTTTGATGAGCAAGTAAAGCTAACTGCAGTAAGATGTACATAGGCTGCACTTCCCTATTTGACTGAAGTATAGACACACCAGGCTGCCCTGTTTAGTGTTATTCTGTTTGATTCTTCTCGCCAAAGATAAAAGCTTTGAATGATTTTCGTCTCTAGGGTAACAAGTTATTTTGCAACATAGAAGACCGTGACAAAGACAGACCTTACTGTAGAATACCTACAGAAGCATACGTAGAATACTTCTACGTGCAGTAGAATAGGCACAGAGTCTGCAGGAGTACTAAACCAGCTGTTTTATAGACAATTACTTTTTTTTTACATTTTTCATTGTGCATCCTGTTAGCTCCCTGAGCCTCTGTTCACACTTAGAGGGAAAGCTACGGCTCGGCCTGATCCTCAAGACAGGCGCAACCACCCGCCGCACAGCTGCGGGCAGTCCAGCCGTCTGACAGCAAGGCACCCCGCCACAGAGAGCACCAGAACAAACCTCCTAAGGCCGCTGGCTAACGTCACCGCAGAAATACTCCTAGGTTGTGAACTAACCTAAACACACGGCCAGCAGACAGCTCTGCGTATAAACACGCCGGCTTCTACAACCATGCTTAGGTCCTGAAGTACAGATAACCATTCAGCACATGATTAAAAGCCCATCTGAGAGTCCAACATTTTGGACATGTTAGGATCAGTTTGATTTAAGACTGTTTTTCTACTTAAGGGTAACTAAATATATTCTTAAAGTAGCATATTTTAGAAAGGAAAATCTCTTCCCATCCGCCACCATGGGTGCAAATCAGAGGAAACTCGTCTCGCTCATTCTGGGGATGTCTAGATAAGCCCCCAATTTTACGACAACTGTATTCTCACAGACACTTTATTAACAGCGAACACCGCAAATACCTTACGAACTCCTCTGACACAAAGCGAACTCCCTCGCAAACAGAGAGCTGTCCCAACGCCTCCCTGCCCCGGGCTCCCGCAGGTACCGGGGGCAGCGGGAGGCGGCGGGGCCGGAGGAGGG